GAGGCCCTGTGGCTCTCCTGGGAACTGGTTACTGCTGTTTTCTGTCTTTCAGTTTCTGTTTTTTATTTGATAGACCTTTTCTCTGTTCTGAATAGATGAGGTATACCCAAGATACCATTTTCACATGTCCTGCCCCAGGAAGTGGGATGTTTAGAGTTAAACCCTGATGCCTCCTGAGATGCTGGAGCCCATGAGCCTCCCCTGAGCTTTGTGTATGATCTTTACAGCTCTTTTTCTGATCAGGTTTTCAGAAGATGTAGTTTTCTATGCTCTCTGGTTTCGTTAGCAGCTCTAATTGCTGACTATTCATGATGAGGCCTAAAAACTCATTTCCTTTGCTCTCCATTTTCACATTCCTGAACAGTGACAGGTCAAGAGGTGCTTTGGTTCTGTAGAGAATAACTTCTGTAATGTGAGCTCAATTATTTGACGAGGGACTTCACACATCTCTATAAAGTGGCCTGGGAGGGGATGGGAAATGGAGGCTCTATTAATTTAAGAGTGAGATTTGGTGAATTAGATTGATTCATCCAGGTAGGACTAGCCCCTGAGGCAGTGAGTTTCCTGTATGAGACTTCTGAGTGGCTACAGCACATGGATTGCAACATGGGGTGGAATGCAAAAGTGTGGTCTCACACTGAATGTACTGAGCTTAACAGTCCTGATAACCCTTTTGAGTGCAGCTGAATAATGTGGAGGTGTGGTTGGGTGGGACGTTTTCAGCTTTACAGGAGTTTTGGTGTGCCTGGGGATCTTACGTGGCTCTCTGGAGACCCGAAGGTATTAATGCAAAAGCATATTTCTAAGACTAGTAAGAGGTGTGCGTTGAACTAAAAACATGTTTGTGCAACCTTGATATGTCTATGTAAGAATTAGCTTTACATCTGGTAAATAAAATACTGTGTAAACTTTCTGTGACCAAAAGATGACATTAACACAAAATGAATTGTAATTAATCTTAGTTGACTGCTAATTACCTGTAAAATCTGATTAAAGGGAAAACTAAATTTGCCTGCGGTAATTAGTGTTTCAATATGAAGTCTATGTCCATGTAAATATGTCTAGTTCTCTGTGCTAATTTATCACCACTGTTATTTACGAGCTTTTTTTTTTCTTTCTGCAAAGGTTACAGAGAATGAAGGACAAAATTAGAATAATGAATTCTTGTTTATTAACACAGAAACAGAACAAATATTCTGTAGACATTTTATAGACTCCAACATTATAATATTGTCAGAGAAATGTAGTGTTTCAAACATATTAGCATAGAAATAGGTTTGTTTCTTATTACTTCAAATAGTTTGCTTGCACTGGTTTGTCATTCAGCTGTCAGTAGAAAGGCAACAAACATTCAGTGAGAATTAACCCCCAAGAAAGGACTGGTCATTCTGCTATTCATTGACAAATGGATTTTGAAATATTCACATAATGAAATCTCCAGAGCAAATGGAGTTTAACAGTTGATGGGGTTTTGTAAAGCATCATCAAATCACAGCTGGACATCCAGAGTGAATTTTCAGCAGGGATAGCAGGCAAGTTTATACACACTTACAATGTGATTGAAAGGAGTAGGACATGTAATTCTTCAGTCTGACAGGTAGCAAGTCTTTTCTCTGTTTTGTTTTAGCACAAATACTTTAACTACCTTGTCCTCCATCAAATTGTCGTAAGAATATTCCTATGCCAGGAAAACTTTGTAGGTATCGTGTTCAACAGTAAAAGGAGCAATCTATAAAGTGTTCTTCATAGAAAACCTGCACACTTGCTGCTACACAACAAGCTACTATTCAAAACACAGCCCTTGCTCATGATGTGGTTAGCTATCACTGCATCTGCATCTACGCTGACGGGAAAACGCACACAGCCCATCTCATTACAACTGCCATGCAGCAGGATGCTTTTTTATGGAAATAGTGACATTTTTGAATAACCAACCTGAACAACACTCTTAAGCACACAAGTAGGAAATGTCTGGGGTTTTTATGTTGCTATCCCATATGGGATACAGAAAATCACGCTGTGACTGCCTCCTGCACTGGAAAAGTAACACATACTGATCGTCTCCCTTCTATCCTTTAAACAGCTCTCCTAAAGCTCACCAAACTGATTATCAGAAGCTTTTTAGAATCAGGTAGTGTGAGAGCAACAAATAAAAAAGCTTGCAAAGTATGTCCAAGGCCACCACAAAAAAAGTGTTCTTGACATCCAAATCACCAATGGGCTCTTTATGTAGAAACCTCACAATGTGATGTACTTCCTCTAATGTTCCAAACACCTTCCTGGAGTTATGTGAGTGAAACAGTGACTTTGCACCCAAGTACTTCTGTGCTGATAACTGGAAAAGGACAGAAGAGCCAGTACTCAGAGAAGAACATTTTTTGCAAAATACTTTATCTCTGCCTTGCTGATCCTGGTTCTCAAGGGAGATGTACAGAATGCCTTTGAGGAAGGAAATTTGGGATAAAGTGCACAACTTTGCTGGATATTAGCAATACAGACACAACAGATTCATTTTTATTTTGAATTGCAATTTTTTTCTAAACCTTTCTTCTTGATAAACCCTTTCTGTTCCACTTTCTGTCCAGCTGATAAGGAAATGAGCCTTATCACCTCTCCCCTTGGTTACCCTTCATGACGTTCTTCTCTCAAGTTGTTCAGCTGATTAACATAACTAAACGAAATTCAGAACAGTGTGTCCCACTTTGTACTGAGATTGAAGTGTCCTGCCTCTGTTTCAGCCAAGACTCTATCTATTTCTCTGTGAAAGATATTCGGATCTTTAATTCTTGCCAGTCTTATACAGATAAAATATGTTATTTAGGTGTTTACAACAAGGCTACTGGTAGCTCTCTTGAAATTGCTCTCCCATGAGACTAAGGGAGCAAAAAGCTGAGATAGGGTTTGTCATTCAAGTAGAAACTGGAAGAATATCAAAGCAACTCCCTGGATATAACCCTCTTTCTCTCTTTCTCCTTGGATTAAGGGCATATGGATGTTCTCCTAGAAGATATGTACCATCATGCTTTACTTATGTAAATTTAAGTGAGAAAACAGTAAAAGTTTTCAGCAAGATCTCCAAAGATATGCAGTTCTGAATTAGGCCTTTAACACTACCCTAATGTGCCCAAAGATTGTTGTATTAATGGTTAATTACTAAATGGTCTCATGACACAAGCTATTACACCATCTGTGTGTACCTCTTCGAAAATTTCTACTGACACATAAATTAAGGTGGAACAGAATTTGTTCCTGTAAAGAGAAATTGATAATGCATTTATGTAATTTAAGCTTGATGATATTGTTATTTATATGCAATCTCATAATTTTCAAGGTCTAACCATTTGTTACAGAGAGCAAAATTTCTCAGAAATACAGACAGTATACACATACAGAGAACAGTGTCTCACCTGATGATTCCTCAGTAGTTTGTATAATTCTTAACTGGGGCAATGTCCTCAACTTCACCTGTCTCTGAAACAACTATGGAATAATAGAACCATCGAATTCTTTAGGTCAGAAAAGACCTTTAAGGTAATCAATTCCAACCGTTAACCCAGCACCCCCAAGTCCTCCACTAAACCGTGTTCCCAAGTGCCACATCTAGATATTTTTTTAACACTTCCAGGGTAGGTGACTCTATCGCTTCCCTGGGCAGCCTGTTCCAATGTCTGACCATTCCTTCAGTGAAGAACTTTTTTCCTAATATCCAATCTAAGCCTCCCTGATGCTACTTGTGGTCATTTCTACTTGTCCTATCACTTGTTGCTTGGGAGAAGAGACCAATCCTCACCTGGCTACAACCTCCTTTCATGTAGAGAGTGATAAGGTCTCCTCTGAGCCTCCTCTTCTCCAGGCTGAACACCCCCAGCTCCCTTAGCTGCTTCTCATCAGACTTGTGCTCCAGACCCGTCCCCAGCTGCTTTTCTCTTCTGTGGACTCACTCCAGCACCTCAATGTCTTTCTTAAAGTGAAGGGTCCAGAGTTGAACAAATATAGCTAAGTCCTTGTGTTTTTCTTTCCATTAACCTTAATTTAGCCAAAAAGAAGGGACTCAATCTAACAAACTAGTGAGTCAACTAATCAGACACTGAGTTTGTGGATGGTCAGGTTGTACATCTGTGGGACCATGTTATTCTATTCCTGTTACCTTTGCTCTCTCTTCCTTTCTTTTCCATATTCAGACATTCTGTGTAGTTCAAATAAAACTCCACTTGTCTTTAAGCTGGGTCATGCATCAATCACAATGCCTGAAACTGTGAAAGCAATTTTGACTAGAACCTTTTGCAATAGAAATAATGATGCAGTGGAAACTGGTCTTACATGTACAAAACATTGCAAGGGCATTGTAACATATCCTTTGTGTCAGATTTTCAGGCTACTGTGTTTGTTCTCATTGAGGGATGAGAAGGCATCTCATTCATTTTATTATGGGGAGCAGGAGGTGAGCTCAACATCCTTTAAAAAAATGTTCTTTTTGTTTGGGTTTTTTTTTTTTCCAGCTATATCTCTCTGAAGTTATTTCCTTTGGTGTATGATCATATTTAAAATTCACTCATTTGTTTGTGTTTTTCAGAAACTGTTGGACCAATAGCTCAGTTGGTAATTCTGAGAGACTGAAATACTGTTGCTTCCTTTGGCAGTGCAGCCCAACAGAAAAGCCTGCAGAGGACTTTGCCTATTTAGAGGGCAGGGAGTGTGACTATGTTTCATTCCTGCAGTGCAACTCAGTTTCTCTCTAGAAATCCATGAAGAATGTGTGAATTGATGCTTTCACGCCAGCTGGGTTGTGTTCCAGTACTGTTAGTACAATCTAGGTTCTTTGTAAATAAGACTGAAGTTATACAACAGTAGGTTACTACTCTGGCAAGTTTCAACTGGTAGGAATTGTTTGTCACTGATTACTCTTATAGTGCAATCTGTGTAGCAGATCCACACTTCTTACAACCAAAATTGTCTAGAAACCAGAGACTGAGAAAAAGGGCAAAAAATCCATTACTTACATGGCTCCTTTTTCTTGCTCTGTGTTGCAGAGCTTTTAATAGTTTTGTACTCAAACCCTTCAGTCTTCCAGGTGAGTTCATCTGGTAGGAAACTGTTACGTCCTGCAGTAACAAATACTTATTTTCTCAGAAGAGCTACTTCCAGCCTATCCGAGTCAATGGGAGACAGAGGAAATGCCTCTCTCTTGTGCCACAGCCCTGAGCTGGACCACTGGCTTGCTGCAATCATTTGGCCTGGCCTTGCTTCCTTGTGGCTTGAATTTCAGCTGATTCTCCTATTAGGACAATTGAATGTGTTAAAAACGCTTAAAATACCACCAGGACAAGAGCAGAACTTAGAGCATCTACATGAATAACAATAACTTCCTGGCCAGGAAAGTTATTCACCTTGCTGGGAAGTCCTGATCACATTGTCCCTTTGACTGACACTGAGAGCCCTAATTTTGAAGCAGTCTGCTTTAATTTACCTTTTTTTTTTTCCAAATGCTCTGTGTAGCAATGTTTTCAGAAATTATTGTCCCAAAGTTTAGAGAATAGGAGCCTTCACTAAAAAACAGCCACCCCAATGAGCAGATGGTGCTCTCTCTCCAGTGCTGGGCTGGGATCTGTGTCCTTTCCTATGCCCTATTGCTGAACTTAGGAGTGTCACATTATAAGATGATACTTAGAAATGTATTTGAGAGGTGAGGTTCATGAACCTCTCTCTCCTACAGAATATTTTGTGCCAAGCTGATACATGCAAGTGAACATGTATCTGTCATGGGGAAGTATGTCTTGTAATGCCAGTGTAACTGAAACACAGCAAAACTGTCATTTTAGGAAAAACCTTTTAATCTGAGTATGGAAGAGAGTAGATTTGAGGAAAGGCAAAACAGGTATTTTTTTTTTAACATCTTACAATAATCAGAAAAGGGAGTTTATAGAATAAGGTGAAAAAATGTCTTTTGTCTCATGGGAGAACCTGTACCTGAACATTTTTAGATGGTAAAAGGTACAAAATGAGAAATGGCAGAATCTGCCAGGTCAATTTTCCTAGGGACAATCCCATGGTAATTGAATAGGTGAAGTGTGTCTTTCTTCTGGTGATCATAATCAAAGAACTGGTCAAATCTCTAACCAGATTAAAAGATCTTTGGTTATTAGACCTTGCCTAAGGGGCTTTAACAGTGCTTTTAACAGTGCTCTCTTTATGCCATGGGCGTGTGGGGGGGTTTGGCACCGGGAAGTAGAGTGTTGTTTTTTTTTTTCCTCTTGGTGTTGAGATTTAGCTCTGATTACTGAGGCTGATTCTTCTTTTATGTAAGAGACAAAAGCAGCCAATGATTCAGTCCATTAAAGCTGAACTGTATCGAAATGACTGGTGATTCTGTGTTGGAAATCAGCAATGGGCTACTGCTTGCTTTAGGATAAAAATAAAAAGAAGTCCTGATAACATATCATTGATTCAAGACTATCCAGTCTACATCTTTAAAATTCACGAGAAAAACAAAGGGAGACAGCTGCTGAATTAATCAACACAGGCTGAACTTCTCTGCAGCAAACAGCTTATCTTCAAAAGAAAAAAAAGAATAAAGGAATTTAAAAAAAAATAAAAAGAAAAAAACTGAGCAAGCAGGTAAGGATGATGTATGACAGGAGTGTAAAATGGAAGCTGCACAAAACAGCAGACCCTGAGCAAGTTTCATGCACTTCTGGTGCAAGAAACCAGATAAGATAAAATCCCTCAGCTTCATAAGAAACAAGTAGAACAATCTGCTCCTGGCTATTGCAAAAGCAGAAGGATGCATGAAGGTCTGAGACAAGCTGAATATCTTTCAATGCTCATTTCCAAGTGCCTTTTTGGCTCCTAATTCCTCTAGGCTTCTAATTTGCCTGTTACTTTGACTCAGCCTGAGGGCTAATCATGTGCTTGAACCATCCATTTAGAAAATAAAAGGCATAGCAAAGCAACCCAGCAAGATGTGTTGAATGAATGCTGAAGGCAGAAATAACAAGTATCTTAACAAAATCTAAGGAGAAGAAGGTGAAAGCAAGTAGCCTTTGCAGCAACAGCATGCTTCAGTCTGTGCCAGCTGGTGCTCTTCCTCCTCCCACTCCCTCAGGAACGTGAGCCCTGAAAGGACTGATGCTGGTTTTCACTGCTGGAGGTTTCTGGAAGTTTATTCAGTCTAAACTGTTCCTCTCAGGTGTTCTAAGTCTCTAAAGGAGGTGTGATCAATGATAAGTCAGGGTGAGTGAGATGTTTCCTAATTCAGGTCATGTCTTGTAGTGGATCTTGTGTTAACAGGCTACTGCATATAAGCTGTCTGATCTGAGCTGGTTTTCCTTTCCTTTAACATACAGATAATGTTAAAAATGGGGACCCATTCTCAATGGGTGCAAAACAGCTCTGACTTTCTGTGGAAATGCTCAGCTATCCCAGCTGACAGCCAGACCCAAAAGGGACAGCAGTTTTCTTGGTGTACTGTCTCACACTTCTGGTCTAGCTGGAATTATCTTATTGCCTAGAGGAATTAAGCAACTTCGTTAGTTCCCTAATTCCTTTCTGGTGTTTTGAAAATACCAGATGTAATTAATGTGTTTTCTCACCCTGTGGACTGCATGTTCTTCCCTTTTCCCATGCTGTCCAGGTGCATCTCCAGGACCATGGATCTGATCCTGCGCCTTCCCATTCCAAAGGCTATCACGTCCATATTTTTGTGCAAATAATCACTTTTTCTTTCTACAACAGTTCCAAAGCAAAAATGAAAACTGGTTCTTCCCCAAGGACTGGGCAAAAGTTAATAGCTTTGAACCAAATTAAAAATGTCATTGTCTCTCTTGGTTTATGGCAAGTATACCTTTGAAAAGAGACAGGAGCAGACTCATTTTGGAAACATCACAAGGAAAAAAATCAACTTTCTATTAATCAAATGCTTTGTCAGAAATCTTTTTTGCCATTGCTGTTATTAATGTAGTGTTTTGCCCCTCAAGTTCTGGCTGCTCTAGCTCCACTTTGCTCCTGCCTCTTGGGACTGGAGTTCTGGCCCACTTAAGTCAATGTCAAGGCTGTTTTGCAGTCTCAGTCCTTCACTGAGGCCCCAGAAGGGTTTTTCTGTGCCTGCACCAGTGCAGGAGCCTAGGAAAAGCCGCCTTATTTATTTTCCCAGCCTAAAATTAAAAGGCATTTAGACTGTTTGTCATTAGCAAAAGTGTCCTGCAGTCCTCTGTGCCATTACTCCAGCTGCAGCTTTGTAAACTGATGTTCTGGTTAGAAAAAGTATTTATGTGGAGTCAGATATCTGAGATTAAAGCTAAAATGCTGTTTGAATGCTTTTGTGTGGTATCGTGAATGTAGATCGGTTGAAACACTCCATCTATCTGTCTGTCTAATCATATACCTACTGCTTGAATCAATAAAGTTAAGCACATGGAGATCTATTTGAAATACAAATCCAGACAAAAGACACTTACTTTCTTTAATCTTGGACCAATACTTGTATAGAGGCTGTTTCATTAATATATTATCTCTGAAAGGTAACTGGGTTTGTCGGAATTGAAATAAGGTTAAATGAATCAGCTGTTGTAGTTCATCTGCTGAATCACAACACTTTGCTCTCAGTTTGTAAAAGACTCTCCAAACTAATGAAGTAGGGTCAATCACATGCATTTTTGCTGGAATCAAATTGCCATTAATTGTGTCACAGCTATGGTTAGGTCAATAAATGTTGCCACTGCACACTGACTATTGCAGTGCCAGAAGATGAGCCATTTTCTCGTTACGTGGTGCAGATTTAGACTCTGCACAGATCAGTGTCTAATTTCTGCGGTGTAGAAGCTCCCCACATAGCTCATAGTTTCTTGCAGAAATGTCACTGGCTACATCACCTGTAAGTGCTCCATTCCTGGAACAGGGATGGTTCAGCTGGTATTTAGCACTGTGGTAGATGTTGGAATCATTCAACTCCCACAGATCCCTTTGTAACTTCAGTGTACTGAGCACCTTCTGAAAAACATTTATTATCCACAGTTGCGCTGCTTCGATTTGCAGTTCACGGATGGATAGAAATGGCAGGAGAAACATTTGTGATAAGTAATGGATGCAATGTGTTGACTAGCTACTGCAGTGATTGCATCAGGGCACACATTGAGTGTTTAATTTGCTAATAAAAATTAACCAGGAACAGGAGGGAGGGAGGACTGTGTTTGCTGGTAATATCACACAGCCCAGTTGAGGTTTCAAGGGATATCAGACAATGTAGAGCCATCTGCTCTGATACACACCTCTGACATCTGCAGAAGGGGTTTAGCCAGGCTAGAGAAGACACGACAATAACAGTGACCTTGGGTGATTTCGAAAAGGCAGGTGAGAGGAGATGAAAAGTAGAGAAGGAAACAGCTGCCCCATCTCAAAAGGGGTGGTGTAGGAGTGCCCCACATAAAAGACTTGGGTAAACTAGATCTCATCACAGATCTTTTTCTCTGTATTAAAACTTTCTTTCTTTCTTTCTTTCTTTTTTTAATTCAGTTTTTATTTCTGTTTGTTTTGTTAATATTAGCCAATCTTTGAGGAATCTGATCACTTCTACTAACCTTGGGTTGCAGTCTTGGGAGAGAAAAGTGTCAGTGCCAAAGCCAGTAGGGCTCTGGTTGTGAGTGCTACTGATGTAGAACCTGCTGTGAGATATCTTCAAAAGGGAGGGAGCAACTGGATCTTTTGCTGAAAAGCTGAAATGGGGAGAGTCTTAATTTTGAGAGTCCATAAGGGACCAAAGTTACACTACTCATTTTATTTGTGGTTATATATGGGAGAAATACTTCTGTCCAACAAAGATGCCCAAGTCTGTGGTTTGTTTGGAGTTTTTTTGTTTGTGCGTGGGTTTGTTTGGTTTGGTTTTGGTGGTTTTTTTAAAAATATGCTCTTTTTGCTATTTTGTGTGGGTGCAAACCCAAGAACAGGGTAAGTTCTTCATAAAAAAAAAAAAATAGAGCTTCTAGGCAAACTGCAAAGAGAAAGAGAGCATTTTCCATTCTCCTACTTCCCCAAGGAATGTGCAAACCATTCAGGAGTTTGCTGCTCTGGGCTGGATTTCTCTCAGCCTTTCTTGTTGCAGCTGCATAAACAATTAAATATTAATTGGACTAGAAAAACAGATTGGCCATGTGCAGAATAAAGACATTCACCTGGGACACAAGTGGCCAAGTTCAGCTCTCAACTCTGAAACTGGTAATTTTTCTGACCTACTTCTGAGTTGTTGGTCTTGATCACCTGATTATATTTTATCTCTCTTTATTGTTGCTGCCCGTGGTCTCTCCTGTGTTTAGTCCATTCAAAACATAAAACACCTTTTCTAAAGATTTCATCAAAATTAGCACATTCCCAGCAGAAGTGTTGCTTTCAGTCACTAGATTGTGGCAGGTTCAACACTTTTGTTTAAAAAAATTTGACTAGCTCCAAAGTGTTAGAAATATTTAGTCAAATGGACCTCCTGCCACAAGTTTTTTCCCCCATAGGAATGCTGGAAGCTGAAGAATGAAAATATATGTCTAACTTACTCTGCCCTTGTGCTAGGAGGAGAAATATTATCTTACCTTTTTCAAGTTTCAAGATGCTTTCTTAGCACAAGACATGGCATGTTCTTTTTCTCTGTCCAGATATATTATAGTTGCTGTTGGATATTCAAATAAACTGAGTGTGTTTCCTCAAAAGAGCTCACAAACCCCTGTATTTTATCAGCACATGTAGTACAAAAAGGCCAAAGTGAGGAATCTGGTGTGATGAAAATATCATGCCTAATTCAAAAAGCAAACGAGAAGGACCAGATGTCCAAGAAAGATCCCAGGGATGGTTTTACATTAAGATCCAGCAAAGTTCTGGTTTTTGCACTTTGAGTATTTTTCATGTACCGAAACACTATTATGATATAACTTCTGACACATATTTAGGCTAACCAGTACTTGCCATTCCCAAGGGAATTGAAACTACATTAAGAATATTGCTTATAAAGTGCTCTTGACTATCATAACTATCTTTAAGTAGTTTTCAGCTTTGAATTTGATCCCTTTTGGTCTCAGAAAGGTTAATTATTAAATGTGAGATTTAGGATGCCTTTCCATCCCGTTTGCTTCTCATAAGTCTCTCAAAATTTCTGTAACTGAAATTATACTTTAGCTACTGGACAAAATTTAGCAGTGATGCTCTCTATTGAGCCAACATGTTCAGAAAACCAGTCTTAATTATTCTCTGTTCCCTGTGCATCTTCTTTGAAGTTAGCAGGGCTGGTGTGGGAAGAACATCATTTGACTACTGCTTTTGCTACCTGCTGCAGCTCATCTTAATATTTTAAACTGGGTAAGGCACAAGAGAATTTCTCTGGAGATCTCCGTTGTGAAAAGGGCACAAAATTCCCAGTAATCCTCAGAGAAGAGCTTGGGTTCTTGTTGTCATCATTTTTAACACTTATAACAAGTGTGCTCTGTATTTGTCAGTATTGCAACAACTTAGTATGCTGTTAAATTCAGCTGGGTAGCAGCACTTGCCAAAAATTGTTATCCAATAAGACAAATAAATAAAGTATGAGGAGTTTTTTGGTTTGTCTAATTTTTTATTTCTTGTTAAATGAAATTATTAAAAGCCAAGTCACACAGACTCTTCTTTGAGCTGTTTTAATCAGTAAACCTGCAGTAGCACATGTGTTAGAGGGGCATCTGTTATGTGAGGATGAAAATGACCACAGAGAGGTTTGAACCATGCAAGTAGGAATTTTAGGAATTTCAGGGGAAGGCAAAATGTGTTTCTTAATAAGATCCGGGTTCAGCCTTGCTCTTCAACAGCAGCCCCATATTCAACTTTTGTCACTGGAGAAACAGTGAAGGGCAGTGAGGCAAACTGTATTAATCAGGGATCTGTCCCAATTTTGTCATTTCAGATGGTCTCCTGCTATAGGAGAGTGTGACTTTGCCAGCAGCACAATGTTAAGGACAAAGCCTCCAAGATCTGCAAGTCATTCAAATGCACACTTGTTTTTCACTTGTCTGACTCGTGCTGTGGGCAGTGCATTACAATCCCCAGAGGGCTCCTGAGAAGTCCAGCTGGGTCAGTGACAAGAGAAGGGATCAGAGAAGTGCCTCGCAGTTAGAGATGGGTTGAACATCAACCCTTGGACCACATTCTGCACACTGGCAGATTGCAGCAACACTGCTGGGAATTGATATCGTTGCACACAGCATTTCTTTTTAATATATTTTTGTGCCACCAAAGAAAGCCCAGCTTCCAGGACAGTGTTCACTGGTAGTTAACTTGAGCTATCAATAGGTATTTACTGTGCTGGTCAGCTAAAGCATCAAGGGGGGTTTAGTCATTGCAGGGATGTTGGCCTTGGGTGTTTATAAATCATGATTTGAATTCTCAAGAAATTAATGTTTGCCCAAGAAATATGGAAATTTAAACAGTTTTGTTGTCTTAAATTACTGTTTGACATTCTGACTCTCTAATGGATCATTCAAATGATGTTGAAAAACTCCCTGCACCATGAAAACCTTTTTTTTTCTTTTCCCTAAAAAGAAGCATTTTTTGTTAATCACACAGCTAAAGGAATAGGAGCATTAAGAAAGTACCAAGAGTTTGCCAATACTGTTGAATAAATCTGCATGTTCACAGCTCTCATTAAGCTAAATAAGAGTTGTGGGAATTAAAAGACTCTGGAAAGGAAGTTTTAGATCGTTAAATCGTTCTGATATCTCCATGAGGGCATACATTTTCTAACTATTTTATTTACAGCCTTCTGGTTGCTTTACACATCACTGATCTTCACTTATAATGTTGCTTGACATCACACCAAACCAAGAGACTGGCGCTCCTGATTGGGCACTGGAACCCCAAAACTACTCTCAGGATACAAGTGGAAAGCAGAGTTTTCCAGCCTGTCTTGATTTCTGTTTCACTGCACAGGTCTCGTGGGATAGGAAGGTCATTCTGCTAAGGGAGGGACATACAACATAAATGCAACACTTTGGAAAGGGTTTTAAAAAATGATTACCTGTGGCGTGTTTGGATTGGACATCACAGGGAATTGAAGGTCTGCAGAGTAGCTCTTTGCTGCAAGAGAAGGACTTAACCACTGTAGCAGTTGGTCTTTTTGCAGTGTGGACTCTGTTTGTGAGCTCTCAGCTCTCAGCCTGTTCTTGCTGGTCATGTGTCTGGTTGACCAGTAATTAGGAAAACCAATGAAGTATGAGCAGCATTTCTGATGATCCTTCAGCTTTGGAGTCATTAGTAGACAAGAGAGCAGCAGGACTGGTGACAATCTGCTTTTCTAGAAGACTTGCTGCCCTTGCTGTCATGTAAAATATACACTGTATTGTAAATCTGAGGGGTTTTTTTTTTTCTCTGTAAAGCTGAGGGAAGCTGTGTCTGGTGGCTGTGATACTGACTGGAGACTTGGGTACTGTGCTGGGTGGCACTGGAGGAGTCTGGCACGTTAGACTCTTCCTTCACTAGAGCCAGGAGAACTGTGATTTTTTTTTCTGGTGTTCTCTGTACTTGGAGCGTCTTTCAAGCAAAGTGAGCCCAGGAGTACTTCAGCATTCCACAGGAACACAGGGCAGGCAATTCCTCGTTATTTACCTGAAGTGAAACTAGTACAGTTCAGTTCAACTAATGATTAAACATCAAATCAGACGCTAGATCAGATGAATGAAGTTGTGAAACTTTGTTTTCTTTTGTCATGAATTACTTTTATAAAGCAGTCCTAGAAGTGGGGAACCTTTCCACTGATAAGTCTTACTTAGCAGGGGTAAGAGGGAATACAGCCCCAGCGTTTCACACACTCCTACAAGGCTGAACTGACACAAACTAGTTTGTTCCGCCACTTCGAAAGACAAATGAAGTACGGAATTAATTATAATATTGATTCCAAATTAACCAAGTTAAATTAAATGGTTTATTCAATACCAGGTGATTTTTAAAATGTATTATACAGTGCATTATTTACATCTCCACTTGAACAAGAAGACCCAAATATTTTATATAATTAAAGAAATGGATTCTGAGGTGCATTTCTACAGGATAGATGAGTAGGCTTAGGTGCACTTCTGAAGGTTTTGCTCTTAAAAAGAACATAGGAATGACCTTAGGAAGGCAGAGAGAAGATCCATCTAGTGTAGTGCCTTGTCTCAGGCACTAGCAGGTATTTGCAGAAGAGTAAAAAAAAAAGACAAATGCACAGCTTTGTTTTCTCAAAATTCTTTCCTGGTTTCCAGCTATATATGAAGGGCTTGTACCACCAAATAAATACAGTTTTCTCTAGATGTAACCACATATTTTGTCACTGAAATCAGTGGTATTGCAGTAGATTTACACTGCTGAAACAAATGTAAGGTCTAGCTTTTAACGTCCCATCAGGAAAATGCCACTGAGTCCCTCACTGACTCCAAAAGAAATAAACAGGAAAAGGTGGTTTTATTGCATTATACCTCAATAAGGCCAAATGGACACCTATAACAGGAGTCAGACTACAGTAAAAGCCAGGAGTGTAGTAGTATGTCAGTGATAAGAACCACACATCAAGATTATGAAGATGAATTATACAGTGGTTTACTGCTTTTTGAGTCTGAAGATTTCTCTAGAGAATTTGAGGTTTAGACATAAAATGTTTCTGGCTGATAGAGCTGCTCATATTGTTGCTGTATCTTGCTGATGTTTTCCCCGAAACTGATATATTTAAATAACATGAGAGGTTTGTGTCCTGAGTCCTATCAGTGCTGACACTCCTTAAGTGACAGAAAATGAAAGAAGATTAATATCTCTGAGCTGAAGAGACTGGTTTTGACTTTACAATTTCCAGGGGTAGCCAGCATCTCAGGACTGTCACTATAACCATGATCAGTACCTGGATCTCATGATCCGAAATTTTGTGTTTGGCACTGATTAGTCAATGGCCTGGTGCTGAGATGTGTTCATGAAGGTGGGAGGACAGTAAAAGTTTGAGTTCTCACCAATCCGTGCGTGGCCTGTTCCTCATGAGTTCCCTGTTGCTTGTGTTCCTGACCCATCATTAAAATCCTGACCACACACTGCTTCTACAAATGCTGCAGCCTTCTCTCCCACTGTCAGGAGTGGTCTGTAACCACCAGCATGTCCACAAGTTTCACATGAGAATTGGAGAGTGGCAGACCTGGGGCTCACCTGTCTCCCTCTGGCAAAGCATGAGTGGAGGAGGAGGCTTATCTGGGTTATAAGATGCAGTTTTTATCACAGTTCTCACAATACTTGGCATTTCTTTTTGTGGCCCTGCTCCAGGAGGCAAGTGGCCACATGCAAACCTCAACTTGGAGCAGTCAAACAAGTGAAAAAAAAAAGACCTTGAAATGAATGTGTTGGAAAGATCAAATCCAGAATGCTAATGTTACATTTTAGGTTTCCTGCTTGAAAATATCCATGGCTTTTCATAATTTGGTGTATGTATGAGTCTGACTGATGATCTTTGATTACTGAAGGGTTGGCAGAACTCAATTAAAAAAAAAAAAGCAAACAAACAAATAAAAAACAACAACAACAACAAAAGGAGAATGATGCTTCTCTGTTTTGTTTTTTTTTTTTTACCGTGATATTGACATTTGAGTTTCCTGTGCAGAGCAGATGAGTTCAATGTATGAGATTTGCAAGTGAGAGCCCTGGCTTGCAGCATATTTTCCTTGTGTATGGGAGAATTTCCTAAGGGGAAAAATGTGCTTTAGAGAGGGTTTATGTGCAGCAAAGCAGGGAGAATAGCTGCAGTCATATGAGGTAGCTCTGTTATGGAGGGAAGGTAGAATCCTGGAGCATAGCAGAGATTTTTCCATACCTGTGTTTTGTTATTTTCTTAGCTGTTTTCTGGATGAAATCCCAGCCGAATCTCTTCTCTGTGGTGGTGAATCAGTGCGAATGCTCTGTGCATACTCATTAGACTTCAAAATCCTCATGCATAAAGAAGGGCTCACAGTCAGGGCAAGTGATGGTGTTCAACCAACTTCATTCCTACTGAATCCCTTTTATGTCCAGTGCTGATAATTGTCACACTTTAAATTATAGTTTGGTTGTGGGGTTTGGTTTTTTTTTCCCCTCTTAGCATGTGTTTTCCCATTTGGGAAATACTGTGCTGTTTGGTAGATGTTAAGCAATTAATAAACTGGCATGTTTTGCATCCCATTATGTGGACAGAATGACAGAGCTCTTCTTGTGTGTACAGATAAAGGCAGCAACATTGAATTCCCACTGCACTACTGAAACATGTCTGGTCTGTCCTAGACTTGCACTGTACTGCTGTTGAAGGGCCAGCTTTGTTTAATGTTACATTTACTGGCATATCTTACATTGTGTGCTATTCTAAAGGAATTTTTTTGCTTCATTATTCAAAGCTGTCAGCAAATGATTTTCACATAATTTCTCTGAATCTTCTTTCCAGTATTAGAAATCCTGTATGAAGAGTCAATATTGTCATTGGCTTAGGATAGATAAGATCTGAGTTCATCTTCTTCTACCAACTATATCTCATGTTACTTTGGGTACTGGGTGCTTGTAAGAGCCTTTTCTTATAAACAAGTCACAAGCAAGCAACAATTGTTCTAATGCCTTGATTATCATGCAAAGTTTGTGTTTGAATTTTATATGACACTTTATTTAGAGAACTTCAGAGAAAAAAACCCAAACAAACAGCCCTAATACAGTAGTCATTTATTTAGGGCCACATATCCTTCACAGAACTCTATACAGAACAATTTTCAAGTCTGAATTGAGAGTATCTCTGTGGATCTCAGCAGCAGGCATGGTCAGATCATCCCCTGAAATCATCTGCCCAGGACTTCTGCTGCACAGTGTACCAATAATCAGGGAACCATATGCTACATTTCATGGTTAAACAGAAATAGCCTTCATTTCCACCAATAACTTCATATTTTGCATTTAATTAGGAAAAATGAGTAGAGAGTGTGTCATTTTCTTTTATATGACAATTAGAAATGTGCCAGAAATTTCACTCTGGAATTTATGTGCAGATATCCTTTGCAATTAGTCATCTTATTTACTGCCAAATAAATGTGTTTTTAGCAGAATTTCTGTGAAACTGCAATTACATCTAGGGAATGAGTCGACTAATCCCATCTCTGTGTGTTGCATGGATCTTTCCACAGATACTCTGCATCCCATCCCCCCATGCTCTATTCATGGGTGACTTACTGAATCCAATAAACCTGGGAGAAGGAAATTCTCTGCTCTCTTCAAACGAAAAAAGTGAAGCAGTATAACCTAACCTTATTTACCAAATAAATATAACATTTCCCTGTGCCACCTACTCTCATGGCAATTCTGAGCGGGCAGAATGCGTCATTTTCCTTTGAGGAGAATATTGGTTGGAGTTCAGGACCTAATCCTGCAGACTTTTCTCACTTTTCTAAAAACAGGGTGACTTAGAGGAGAAAGGACTACAGGATCAGGCCATGACACGGGGAACAACTGAAGTATTGCATGAGATGAAAGGGGTGATAAATCATGTCAGGATTAACTTCTTAGTTTTCTTTTTTTTTTTTTTTTAAGACAGTATGTGCTTCCAGAAACTCCTCTTCTTTAAAATGACTATGGTACAGAGGTTCCTGTTTTGAGAACTAACTGGGATTATTTGTTGTAGGAGTTGCTACTCCTCAGTGCTTTGTCCCATGGCAGTCAGTACACTCCCAGGAACACCAGAGGCACAGTTTGGGGAAGAAGGGGGCCTATGACCTTTCCAAAAATGACCATCGTGTTTTGAGAAGCTGCTGTGGCATTTGGCCTCAGAAACAGAGAATGGGCTCTGGCCTTTTTTATTAAACAAGGCGTAGTTTTTCATCATTGTTTGCTGAGGCACGTGTGGTCTCGTGTTTTTCCTACCTTGGAAGATCTTTCACCTGTCTCAGAGAAGAGTTGTTTCCAAGCAAGGATCATGAAGTCGGAGCTTGACATATTCATTATTGCTAATGATATATCAGTTAATTTTGGTCATCTTTAAGTTCTTTGTGAAATTAGTTTTTGAAAGTGAAGAATATCTGAAGGAAATCTCCTCTGAAATTTTACCATTGTGTTTCACTGAACCCACCCGGTCAGAAGACCCCGTTCACCTCTGC